ATAAATTGAGGGACGTACATATCTATGATTGAAATGCAGACCGTCAAGCCGGCCGTGCGCTTCGGTTAAATTTGCATTTGTTTCACACCTGATCAAAGTGAGTTTGAATCGTTTTCAGGTCAAAATAATTTCGCCTAATCAAATAATTAGCGTTTGTTTGTGAGTGTATTTTTATTCATGACATTAGCAATGTATATTTTTTTCCAATTGAATGTATGTTTACTGGAAGCTGGTAATATGCTCCGTACGCACATCTTAACACTCACGTACGCAATTGTGTATGCGTTCTTTACTTCCTGGTATTTTGAACAAATCTATTCCATATTGTTTTGTTGCATTCGGCACACATGCAAACAAATTAATGCTAATGTTGTGCATTGGCACAGGCATGTATTTTTGTTATGCTGTATTTATATGAATAACTATTCGAACGGCTCTATTATGTTTTTTTTCTATACAGTATGGTTATATATTGACGAGCAGTGCCTGTGATATCTTAGCATTTAACATTATTGGAGGTAACTACGCTTAGCCATCGCGGCTCTCCTAGTAAATCTATCGTCACGTAAGCTCCCAATGGGCTTAACATCCTGTCATTTAATCAGTAAGCTTGTTGTGTAAGTAGTGGTTGTGATCACCTCTACCGCAGTCTTTCGGTTTACGAACACATGACCATAAAGGATGTCATTTGGCCTTGTTCTTTAGGTTTTATGCGAACATAATGCTGAAGTTACGGGTGTTGACTCGCTACTTAGATAATGTTAGAACTGGTGGCGTGAAATCTATTATGATCTTCAGTACTGAAGGCGTTCTTCTTACTCATTCTGGTTTTAATGAGAGTGTAAAAACCACTGCGGCGATTATGGCAAACGTCTGGAACTTATATCAAAAACAGCTTCAATTAAGTGAGTCGGTGAGTCGCTTTTCTTTTAACTAAAATTTAAATCAGTTTGCATGCCCGCTGCTTGTATTATTCTTGATTTGGATTCTGTTTCTGACTAAGGCTTGTCAAATTTTGTTTTCCAAAGTTATAAGAATATGGTTGTCGTTTTAACTGTTCGAATTTATGGGTGCTTATCTGACATTGATATGTGCTCGTTATTATGTCCAACTTTAGTCCGACAGAGTTTAGTCAAATATTACATCGAACCAATGCTCTGCAATGGACTCTCACTTCAGCGCTCGTGTTTGTTCTTTTGCCACTCGATGACGAGGTAACAGGTATCACACTCAATGGCCTCGCACTTTCTACCTAAACCATTGTGCAAGTGAATAAGTATAGTACAGGTCAATGTAAAAGGTCTTTGTTAACAAATTAGCGGATTGGCATGCAGATTGATTACACGTGAAATTGCGCATAAATTTCTGCCATAAAGGTGGCCTTGGGCATAATAATAATTTGGTGATAGCGCAACCAACTGTCACAAATGAGAAGACTTTTATTAGGTGAACCACAGACATCCCTTCATTCACTAAGCGAATTGATGACTTCCCAACTGGAGTGTACATTGACATTGCAATGCAAGGCTGTGTGCACACCCTCGTCATACTTTTATGTAACTCAAGGTGTTCGTGAAATATCGTTTGAATGTTTTTTTTTCGTACTCTGCAAATGTTCTCACTGGTCAAATCGCTTAAAGACGCTTTTGTGGGAGAAGAGTAACACTTCCCAGAGTTTCGGCTCAGGTCACTGACGCTAGAGTGATATAATCCTATTGGCAGAGTAATTTCTGTGATGAACTGCTTCATATGGCGAAACTATGCTATTTCCTGCTGACTACGAAATCTACGCATGTTTCTGTTAGTAGTCGTGTAAACCCTTAGGATGCTATAAAGCTTATCAATTTGCACAAATTTTAATCGTAGCGTCTTTACTAAAATGTCAACTTTCCTGTTCACTGCTTACAGGTGGTCAATCTTGTGAACAATCCAATGATTTATCTTAAATTGGATGAATGCATCGTTTTCAGTTTTTCGGATTGAATTCGGTTTTTTCCCTCGACTTTTGCAGCACTACTTTGAAAACAGTGACAGCTGCTGTCGGATTACTTGTGAAGCAAGCTTTTTATCCACGCGATTGACCCTACCGTTTTGTTTTTTACCCATAGGAATCAATGCAGGAAATTATTGTTGAGTTGTCTGATGGAAAGCTTGTTTTCACTAAAGTTGCGTCTATCCTGATCTGCATACACGGCTCAATGGAAATCAGCATGGGACTAATGCGTGCTAAATTGAACTTACTAGTGGAGAACCTCCACGAACCTCTGGCGTTGCTTACCACTTCTAATTGATTTGTGCATTTTCAAGCTATCAGTCTTCAAATATATTTATCATATGTGCATGCTTTGAACTTTTCACTCAAACACTTAGAGCACACTTAAAGCTTGTGCTACTATTTTGGGTCTGTTGATTTTAATGTTGTGTTTACTCTCATCCATCCACAACTTGTGCTGAATAAAGTATGCCGTTGTCCCCTAGATTAACTTAAGTGAAATCGTGAAAAAGTCTTATTCCGTATTTTTGACTTTTTTTTTATAAATAAGGTTTTTCAGATGTGTGGCATGTGCCATTCATTTTCCAGTGGAAACAGGTCGGATTAACCAAACCCTTGTTCTTCAGTTACTAATTTATTGTAATCCACTATTTGACAATTTTGTGCCTTACTGCAATCCTTGCAATTAGACTCTTAGAATTTCTATTCCCTTGCTTTCATTAACGTCCATTACAGTAAATATAAAGTGTTTTATTGTGTGTTTCCAGCCTATTTAATTGCTACCTAGGTCGCTTAACACGAGAACGTAACGAAATTTATAGTGGGGACTAGAGTACAAATTGTGAATGTTTACCAAACTTCACTTTATCGGACTTTGCTTTCTATATAGTCATATGCTAATATAGCAGACAGGCGATTTCTTAGAAAATCAATTTGTGCTAAACTTTCTACATTTAGTTTAAAGGTGTGCATTTTTGCAAGTGATAAGCGGATCAGTTTCATGAGTTGCACTTGGAGGTTTTGTGAATGCAACTCGTATTCACTAAACAACAGTCATGTGAGCCAGCGCACTTTCGAATCTTGAGTATTGTCTTTCTTTAAGGCCTAATAGAGTGAATATATGTTGGAGCCAAGCGAATCGGACGACAGTAGTTCAATACAACCTGAAAATGTGCAGGAGGACGACGTAGCCGAAGCACCCAGCCATGATCTCGGTGCTAGGCATCCAGCCCCCTTCTCCCATGAGCCTGCTGCCATCAAAGCTCTCGAAGACTGTGATTACAGTCAAAAAATTACCCTCGACATGGCCAGTTCTGGCAAGGGTATGTTTTTTTTCCGTCGGAGTCGTTTATCCTTCTTTACTTGGTAGATGCAGTATGTGGTCTGGGTGGGAGACCAATTTCGGCTAGTATTTTTTTTTTGTCAAAAAGGTCGATTTGCGATTTCCCTTGTTTCTCTAGTAATTTAGGCAACGTCTTAATCAGCCGTCTTTTCTTTTGTCTGGAACCTTTCCATAAGTAGTCAGTTACCGGCTTATACTGTGAACTTAAGTATCGTAAATTTTCATCTCCAATTACGATATCTCTCTATTTCGACTATCACTAACTTGTGGGTAAAAGATAGGTGGATCGATTTACCTCAATGCTTCGCTATCCAGCCTTTCTAATGGCATTTACGCGTACACTTTCCTTTTCACTCCAATGGTACATAAATACAGTGATTTTTGATGAAATCGTTTGGCTGAGACCTCAAGGTGATGTTCGAATTATAAGGTCCTATTTCCCGACAGGACATCAAGTGTCCTTCACTAGCCCTTGAACTGAATTGAAGCGAGAAATTTCATATTTTGAGACGTTCAAGGATAGAAGAATGCATTAGAAATTTTACCGAAATTAATGGACAATTGGCTGCGATAAGTGCTTCCATTGATCTCCGTTAACAATCCTAGGCAAGTGAAACCATCATTTCTCCGTTTCCAGTGTAAATAAAAATGTACGCTCAGAGGACTGGGTTGTTTATTTAGTGTTTATCCGTCTAATGTTAAAATTAATCGGTCTTAGTGGGAACAGCTCATCTTGATTGCCTGCTTGTCTACATGGTTGGCCTTTAAAGTAACTTTCCTCGTTGATATATTTGTGCTTCTTGAATTAACGTCATCCATGTACTTCGCCAAGGGTCCGTGTCTGTGTAAAAATTACTGCCTGAGCTACATCAACAAAATTTCTGTAGCCTCGCGTGGCTGTATTCTGTTCTCAGGTGTGAAATCCCCTAAAAATTACAGAATAAACCTTGTTCTGGTTAAGTATGTGAATTTCCACTGATTTTCATGATAAATTATCATTTACTGACCAGTTGCACACGTCTCTTATTTGGAGATTATTCATAGCATGTCCGCTTTACCTTTCAATGCTACGTATTCGCATTATCTTGATGCCAAGAGCATTTCAAATTAGGACACGCCGGTGGCCTATTCTTTAGCCCGGCATTTCTGAACACACCTCATCTCTTGCTTTTAGCCTTAAATCTTATTGTACATCTCACTCGGTCAATGAGGCACTCTCGGTGCCATGATTTAATTGGATTTCTGATTAATTACTGTAGCTTAAAAAATTCTTAATGCCAATTGTCCCATCAACTAAACGCCAATAAAGAAGCATGATTGTGAGTATCTAGCCTTCTTGAAGTCGATGTGATGCGATTACCCGGCCGTGACAGCTCTTATAGTTTATTGAAAACATTAAGCTGCAACAATTCCTCATAACTTTTGGATCGACTGTCTCATGCATTATTATTTTTTACCGTCATGATCAAGGTCGGCCACGAAATGGGATCGGATGCTTGCTTCCGTAAACCGAAAACCACTTGGCTACTTTCGAAACCGTGTCGGCGATGTATGTGCCTCTATTTGCTTTAGACCACTCGCTACCCTTGAATTACCTGTTGGGATTGAAACTGCGTACTTAAGATTCTAACCAACGTTTCGGTAGACAGGGAAACAATGTGTCTATTGTATTCGTCCTTTAGACAAATTGCACAAGGGACGTTTATTCCTGACCTAGCTGTTGGTCTACCGTTACATGTTTGTTTTGTTTCAGTGCCGCGTCGTGTGCGAGTATATGCTGACGGTGTCTACGACATGTTCCACTCTGGACACGCTCGACAGCTGATGCAGGCATGCTCTGTCTTTCCCAATACTTACCTCATAGTTGGTGGTAAGCTTTCGCCTCTGTTCTTGTAAACACCAACCGCCTTTTTCGGTACTTCGTAACGTGCTATCCGGTTATGCTAATCGCTTCTAGTTTGATTCGCCCTGATATCTTAGTCACGACTTTTCATGTAACAAGCCAGAGGCACATTTTCAATTTGTAGCACAGATAGGCTGAACAAGTTAGATCCGATCGCCAACCATGCAAATAAGCATGTGATGACGTTACCTGAAGAAGGGCAATAAGCTAGCTATGTACTTGCTAAGGCCATTTCTTGGTGAACATTGTTTGACCCTGAATAACTGAAATTTTTTTTCAAAGTTGGTTGTCCAGAGTCTTGTTGTGTTGGTTAGAAGCTTTTTGGCTGTAAGTGTGACTCGCTACGTCAAACGTGGGGTTCGGGAAATCTGACTCGATAAAATTAATTGGCAAACGCGAAGCTCTTGCATCTGTACATTAGAATATTGCAATTTGACGGCAAGTCAACGAGGACCTGAGTACGTCTTCAATTGTTTCTCGAGCAGGTAGCTCCAACGACTCTTTGGAAGTTCCCACCATAGCAAGGCCTTATAACTGACATTTGACGAGTGAAATCAGCGCCTTATTGACTAAATAACCACGCAATTTGGGGAAAAGTTACTTGTTGCGGTGGCCTCATGCATTCATGACAAATGCTTTCTTCGGGTATTTTTGCTTCCGAGAAGTGCGATTTCCTCCTCCCGTGTAACAATATCTTCACATTAAATGACACTGATTAGTAGATATTTTTAATCCGAAATCGTCCAGTGTGTTGATTGGTAGTTCATTTAGGCAGCTTTTTAGTTGTTCCCATGAGAAATGCATAAGTAATTCACACCCGTCTCACTATCACATTTTGTGCAAGAATACTGCGTTTATGGTCATGTCGTGTTTTGCACTATCTATTTATGGTTAACCACTGTTTTCGTTAAAGAGATTTTGAAGTCTTTTGTGCTCCCTCCACATTGTAATTAGTTTCATTGTGGTTCCGTTGAATTAGAACGCCTTGTATCGACAGTGTCTTTAAACCTCATGCGGACACACGACTCTGATGCCCTCCACAAGGGTCAGGGCGTCTAGCCTTTTGACATTGCGGAAGTGCGGATGCCCTGGTCGCTTGTGGCCCTGTCCCAACGCGTCGCCACTGTTTTCAAATTGTCACTTTGAATTTAGTTACCAGTGACGCAGACACGCAGTTGCACAAGGGCAAGACCGTGATGAACGAACGCGAACGCTACGAGGCAGTGCGCCATTGTCGATACGTCGACGAGGTTATCAAAGCGGCCCCGTGGGAGTGCACTATCGACTTCCTAAAATCGCATAAGGTAGGCGCACTAACCCATTGAGCATTTCTCGAGCCAGTTACTTTCGGCTTTTAGGATACGCTGGCGGCAAGTTGTGGGAAGGTTCGGCATGAGCCTTTTTTGCGATGAAATCGTTTTCATATTTTATACAATAATCTTGCTTGCATAACTCGCCACAAGTCGTTTTGCTATATTTTATGCCCTGTTAAATGCCCAAAGTGCATGCGAAGCAATGGCAAACCTTGGGTAATCCAGTAGTTCTGCCGTCAGTTATTGATGATCTAAGAACAGTCGGACTGCCCTTTTGCTAGCAAGTGTCGGTTCCGTCTAGCTACAAATTCCCCTCGAGGACCTTGTAAGGTATAAAAGACTAAATTCATGTAATATTTTGGGCATATACTTGAGAGTGCTGTTTTTTTGTTCCTTCTCTTATTCCATGTAACCATATAGGTCGTAAATGCATTTGAGTTCCTTTTTTCTCTGAAGATCGATTTTATCGCTCACGATGACATTCCATACGCAACCGAGGATTCAAAGGACATTTACCAACCTTTCAAGGATGCTGGAATGTAACCATTTCCTTATTCTAAGATGCTTCCCAAATGGTTGTTTGTCTTTACATTTATATTCTCTTACTGTTAGGTTTTTGACGACAAAAAGAACGAAAGGAATATCAACTACGGACGTTATCGGGCGGATATTGAAGGACTACGACGTATTCCTTAGAAGAAATATCAGCCGTGGATTAACACGTCACGAACTAAACATCAGTTATGTTAAGGTATTTGCGTTTTTTTAAAAAAAAATAATGATGTAGTGTTCTTAATTTTTTCGTGAAATTGATGCATAGTGATAATTCAGTCACCTAGAATTTCGCTAGGTTGCATTTTGCTAGGCAAGGTGCGGTGTTTCACATGATTTCCTAGACCGAGGTTAGTGTGAGTGGCCTTGGAGGCAATTTACAGTAATTTTATTGTCGGCCCAGGCCAATCCAAAAATTTATTTCCTATTTGATACAACCATAAATATGTGGTGTATAGTGCCATAAGCAGACTCTCAAGAACCCGCCATCACTCAAAACCGCTGCCCTCGTATACAGTGGTCATGTTTAACCCTCCTTGAGATGCCCTTCTTCCTTCCCCACTTATGCTCTCAATCACGTCACTGGGGCAGATCGCGGATAGCCGAGCTAACAGCCGAGGGCCGCCTGACTCGATGGTGACTTTCCATCCCGTCAACAGAATCTGGCCTTTAACCTGGAGGGAAACGATTTTAAAACATCAATCTTATTGTATTTTGAAGCAGTCAGCTTATGAACATCAAGTTTTTTCCTTGATTCACTTTAAGTTCCTAGTAAATATTAAAACAAACTAAGGTTCCATTAGGGCGTTTATTTGGTGTGTTTACTTGATGGTTTTGAAGTTTCATTTCTTCATGGTAATGCGTTTCTCGGCAGGCATGACCACAGCGGTTAGATACCAGCATATTCTCAGCCTAGACTGTGTAATATCTAATTTGGATTGAACCCACGGTAACCTAGATCGTTGTCCGATTTACCAAACGCTCAGTTGTGGTTGGTTGTCCCACGTTTTTCACCCACGTTTAATTTACCTTCACGACCCAATTTACCAACTTTCTGACCTTCGTAAGAGTTATGAAGCCCGTCGCCTACATCACCAGTTGTCTTTTCCATTACCTGTCAGGTCGAGTAAAATGTCACCGTAGTATTCCTGAGGTGACAAATTTGGTCAACAAGTAGTCAATTCCAAATGGTTTTCCATACAATATAGTCATTTACGAACACTCGTGATTGCAAAATACTGTGGTTTTTAGTCTTAATAAATAGGTTTGTGTTGAGCGGCTTCAGAGCTCCAAGGTGAAACGCCTAATTGTTTTACACGGGTCATGCATAGCCTTGGATTCGTGCCTTACTAGTGCCGTGACTGTTTTGGCACTGGGTTGACTTTGTAATCGATCATCAATCGGAGAGCAGTGAAATTGCTCTCCAGCGGTTTTCGCGTCTTTATCTAATTTCATGGTGGCCACTCGTGTGCACTGCTGTTGGAGTTGACTATTGGTATATTGAGTAGTATCAACTCTGGTAATATCGAGGACTCTTAAAGTCTTGCTCATGGGAAATATTTCGATAACTCGAGAACGCAGCTATCTTGAGAAATTGAAAGGTGCTAACATAAACGGGTGTTTTATAATCACAACTCCTACTTTATTTATGTAATTTTTTTTTGATATCTGATGTGCATACGGTTATCAGTGGAGGCAGCTATCCATGGTATTATTTTGACAACTTTTCTGCTGGCACTTTGATGTCGCACGTGGTATTTTCACCAGAATGCCGCTCAACTCAACTCGGCCTGACCTGTTAATATTATTATCGGTCTGGAGTGCGGCGGCAAGAGCAGCCACATCAATTGTCGCATAATCATATGGTTGTGAAGTCCTTAATGCAGTGTTACACGTGGTGTTTACTTTCAGGAGAAGCAGCTCCGAATAGAAAATAATATTCAGACCATAGTTGAGAAGGGAAGTCATTTTCTCGACGACTTTGGTAGTAGGAAGCGGAGGATAATTGAAGGCTTAGAGGACCTTTACCAGGAGGTCTCGGCCTCCTTTATTCGATTCTTTGGAACTCGAGGTCGTCTGCGCCATTGGTGGTCTGGGACAACCGCGGCCATCAAGGGCGTCGTGTCTTCAACTTCGTCAGTATCCCTGCCTCCATCTCCAGTTTCCGAATCTGATGATGACAATTCCGGAGCGAGTGGCTCTAGGTTAGTGCGCTTCATCCTTAAAACGAGATTTCGTTGGTCGCCAGTAAATTTATTATTGTAGTTTACTACAGATTGACACTTTAAATTGTCTGGTGTTTGAATATGAAAAAAAACAAATTTGCTGTTCTGCAGAGGAAACTACTCGGATTTTATTATTGAGGGAATTTAGTAGCAACTGATTGCTCGGCTATTTCAGTTAACTCTCCATCTGAAAAGTAACATAGACGGTCATTTTGAGAAATTTGAATTAGAAAAGTCTTATTTTTTTTGAATAGGCCCACAAACACTCCCCTTACTAGGTCGCGAAAGCGGTCACTAAAGGCTAGCAACTCCGCGTTAGCGTCTGAACCGGAAAAACGATATTGCCGTTGAGTGAAATGAATTTGCAAAGACAAGAAAATCTGGTACTTCTTAAATGTGCTCTACCCCACTTTGAGGACTTCAGACGCCCTCGTTTAAAGATTTGTATCTTTTTATTAAGTACCTAAAAGACTAACGCCTCTTTCTTTGAATCTAACTCTTGTTTATATTAACGACTTATTGCAGTCCAGATGTTCTCCTTTAATTTTTAGTAGGCTATCCACTCCCAATTTCTTTATTCGACCATTTGACTTTATTTTTTCGGAAAGTTTTCATCGCTTTTGTTGAATTAGAAGCCTTATTTAGTAAGTTATGCCTCTGGATTTTCAATTTTTTAGTTTACTTCCAGGCTCTTAGCACCGCTAAAACTCCGGTTGTGTTTGGATGCACAAAAAACTCCACATTTTAACATTAGGAGTGCTGGCTATGCTTAACTGTTTTGTAGATATCGTATTAGGGAGAATTTAATGGCAGTAGACGAAATATTCGGTTGGTGCCCCCTGCTCTTTACTGGTGTGAATTTCAGCGTTCAGTTATCAATGCCACCTTTCATCTCACTTGATGCTGCATTAACAACGACGATTGTGCTACCATCGCTATTGCCGCCTCTTTGTAATCACTTAGATGTTCAACGCTGAAAAAGTTCTTGGTGTAGAGAAGCAAGAGTTAGGTCGAGTCAAATCCAGATGCAAAATGATTAGTTTGAGGATTAGACCGTCAGCGAAACCCCAAAGACGCCACGTAAAAGGAACATGGAGACAGGTACACACATATACGCAAACATCAATATGCACACGTGATTTGTCTGTTTCGCTAGTGCGGACGTGCGTAAATATTGCTCTTTGTTAAAAATTATTATTAGTGTGAACTTTTCCCATTCAGAACTGTTTTACGCGTTGGCTGTTTCACTCAAATTTTTTGGTGTCGTGATCATTCATTGGATCAGGTAGAATCGAGCATTGGATTAAGTGAAATTTTGTTAAAGGCACAATTTTTTTCCAACATTTGAATCTTGTAGATTTACCCGTTTTTGAGTCGTAAGTCAAGAGTAATATTAGTATTTGACTACTAGAACATGTTGTTTAGATAGCTTCACAGTAATGACTGATTCTCGATATCGTGTGAGATTTCAGGGCTTGATATATTCAGTCGAACCGGTGTCCTAAGTCAAATACTACTTGGAGGGAGCGATAGTATTGATATGAAGTATTTTAGCCCTTAACTGATGTTGGGTCAGTAGTTAGAGTAATTCGGAGTAATTCTACCGGTTACCCGTTTTTTAGAAGTTCATAAGCTTGAAATGCGTCAAATTTACAGAAGTTCTTTAAATTTGTTAGCCGAAATTTGATAAAGTTCGTAGTACTCTCGTGCAAGAGAAATAAATGGCTCAAGGAGGTTGCGGGCGTCTTTCTAAAAAAAGAAAGGTGCAGGAGTTTTTATTTACGCGCACCACAAACTTCCACTATATCCAAAAATTTACTAAAGGAGGTTTTTTGAAATGTACAACGTAATGTCATGTTGGCTGAACTTTTTTGGACCTAAATAACAAATAGTGACGACAGAAGGATTGATATGCCAAGTGTGTATTGTGTCTGATGTTTGCACAACATACACATCTTAATAATAAAAAGAGCTCGACCATGAAGCTCCAACTTTTATTTGAGGGAACTAGAATTTTCATAGGGATAACTTATACAAAAAAATATGGGAAATTATCATCTAGTATTGGCTTACGTAGTAACTTTGTTTTATTTATGATGATAGCAAATTTGAGGCTTTATCAGTTAAATTACAATATTTGGGATGGCGTTAATTTTACCATTCCTCAAAATGTCAATAACTAAAGTTCTGGGATAATTTGCGTCAAATGTTTCACTGGAAAGATGCTAAGGCGTATTCTGGAAATAGGAATCATGTCACTTTGTAGCGTTAGAAATTGTGTTTTAAAATAGACGGTTAAATATGAATGTATAGCAAACTAGAAGCTCGGTACGGACGAACGATTACAGGAGATATATTAAAATGCTTGTTTAATATATCTAAATCAATATCTGATGCGCACATCTACGTAATTCGCAAATGTCGTTAGTCCTATTTTGGAGTCAGGAAAATTTTCACCTTTACGTCACACGAGATATGCCGTCTCGTTAATTACATTGAAGTATTAAATGATAGGCTGCAGAGAACTTCATGCATCGATAAATGATTTAAGGAATTAGCTGTAACTTACAACCGACAGCTCATAATATTTGATGCCTAAGTATTCGGCGTAGTTTCTTGCCTCGTCTTCCTCAACCTTTCGCCGAAAGACTAGATCAGTTTTGTTTCCTATAAGAACACCTTTTCTAAGTGTAATTTTAAGAGACTTTAAAAATACCGGGGATCTTAGGATGCTTTTCGCCGCTATTAATTTTTTCCATCCATGACTTGCAAGCGGTAAAACTAGAACGATCCGTAACATCAAATACTAGAACAAATACGTTGGGCGTGCCAATCTAAAATCAAAAATATTTATTCGCGCTCACATATTTGGCAAACTGATCAAAATGAATGCTGCACCCAGGATAGTCATAAATTAGAAATTCCTAAAACAAATTATAAAGAGTTGATGTATTACCACGTTTGCATCAATATCCTGTAATATGGTATTGCGTACAGTTAGTTCAGGAACAATAGTCTTAATCAAAAATTATACAATCAAGATAAATAAACCATTTGGTATATATGAGGGAATTCCTTGCGAGGCGCCACCAACGCATAACTAAGTGACGTCTTTCCTACAGTTTGAGCTCCTAAACATATCTCTATTATTTGTTCTTTTTACCTATAATAACACATTTTCCGCGAAGATAAAGCATTGCAAATTAATACAATAACGTGACTGTAACCAGCATCAATAATCATTGATGGGTTAAAACACATTATAGGAAAAATAAAATTAAATTAGCAATACCAACAACTTCGCATCTTATTTGCGCTAATTGTATTCAATTTCCTGCTATTTTGAAAAGAAATATGTCTTATTTTTTTGCCTTAATTTTAAGGACTAAATTAAGAAACGTAAAAACAGTTCGTATCGGTGAATAGCACAGTATTTACTCGTGTATACAACATGTAAACAATAATGAACTGTTAAATATCCTCACAATTCAAAAAAAAATTACGCTAGCATTTGACTTTAGTTAGTTGGACACAGGTTGTTTTAATTATTTAAAGGCCGAGAATTCTATGAAAGGCAGAATCTTTACGATTTAGTTCTATTTATCTAAAACTTGATTAGCGAAATTAATCCGACCAACATTAAGCTTTTTCAGGCAAATTAATTCCTGACAATTCAGCCTTAAGTTTCTGTTTTACATTTTATTACGTTGCCAACCGTACTTTGTAGTGAAATTCCTGATTATCTTTAAATCGGCCTTTAAATATTTTAAACCAAGTACTTTCTTACTAATCGACATCAAACATTGACATAGCAACCAATCACATGTGCCGACTGGCCACTCCCTTACATGGCAGAGGAACACATAGACGAAGTAAAGATTTTGTGATTTTAAATAGCGTTTAGGTCACTTCAAATACGAATGTAAACGAAAGTCAAATTGAAAACTTAGGAACTCATCCTACAGAGGAAAGCGTCCATGGATTACCTGTTGAAGGTGAGGTTAACGCCACACCTTCTATCTCAAGTACAGATAATTAAGCATAGTAACTCTTATTTGAGGTCAACTGTGATAAATTGTAATTCTATATGCTCAACTCGTAGGTCTCGTTAGATGCATTCGTTTGCATATTCATGAGCGTAAACGTTTCATTGGCTATACTTCACCGTTCTCACACTCATACAAATGTGAATCTCAGTGACCCTATGGTAAAAGCTGTCAGACGACTCATTTTTGTAAGAAATACCTTCAGGTCAGTAAGTCGAATCTCATACGAGAGAAGTGAATCCACATTTGAAGGTTCGACATACAGCCCTTTACGTGGACCAGCATTGCCACTAAGCCATACCGTAGATTGTATTGGGGTATTAACCTAAGCATACATGTGGAAATCTGTGAATGGATGCGTGTACTGTAATTTTCGGGATCTGCACCAGTAATTTAATGATTTTTGTGATCATTCAGACAACCAAATCGAAGGTGCTGAAAGTAATAAAGACAACAACGAAGGATTCGATGAGAGCCAACCAAGTGCTCCCGCCACAAACGCTGGTTCAGTTTCGGAAATCGAGGAAAAAGGTCAGGTTATCGCGGACGAGGAGGTTAAAGCCGGTAAGAACGCGAGAGATGACTGGGAAGAGAACCACGATACTGACGAAGTGGGTTTGACGCCCGAGACCTCAAACGAGGCGGACCAAGAACCCTACAAGCAAGAACTTCTGGAACAACATAGGACACTACTTGAGCGACGGCGCAAAGCAGCTAATATGAATATCCAATTACAGACAAGATTGGCAGAATATTTTCGCCGAAAACGTGCTGATGCCGTTGATGCGGCACACTCGAATGTCGACAGTTTGGCAAGTAGTGTTGTTGATACTGGTGCAGATTACAATGCACGATTTTCGAAATACATCACAACACTTTCCGAGATGCAAGATCGATTTATGAACCAGAAGAAACTTATTTTACAAGAAATAAGTAACTTGAAAAGATTATGCGATGAAAAGAGTGATGAGGCTGAGAGGACTTTTGCGGGAATGGCAGACTTTATTGAAAACCAGGGAAAGGAAGCTATAAGCTATAAGAGTGGCCGGCCTTTGCCCATAGAGTACTACAAAGCCCAACGTGAAATGTTGCTAAAGAAGAACTCTGCGGTCACTAAAGTGCGGTTGGAGAATATAAAACTACAGAGACAAGTCGAAAAGATAAACGCTGCTTTTAAATCACACGACCTCTCCGAGGGTTTGCATCTGATAGATTTTGAACAAATGAAGATAGAAAACCAGACCTACAACGAGAAAATCGAGGAAAGGAATGAGGAAACTGGCAAGTTGCGTCGTAAAATAACCAATACCGTCCAAATGATGACGCATACTAATGAGAAGCTACAAGCATGTCAGGCCGAAAACTTTCTCCTCCGAGATCAGCTTAATTTATGGACGAGGAAGCTTAACGACTCCCGTGATACACTAACCAAACTAAAACAAAGCCGCGACGCTCTAAAAAACAACTATGCGTTACTCCAACGTACGAGCGGTCTCATGAGTCACCTGGAGATGCTCCGGGGGTATGAAGAAACAGTTGACGAGGTGGAAACAAAAAAACGAGAGATCGCAAGCATGAAACAGCAAGCCCACAGCTTCTTAGCGAAGGCAAAATTCTACGAAGACAAGGTCTGTGGTACCAAACGAAAACTAGAAACCACAAAAGCAAGAAACATTTTTCCATAAATGTGTTCTTGTACGACACAAAGGTCTCACTTACATACACCCAAAGGTAACTGTCCGATCACTAGGACGTTGTCCACAATCAGACTGCTATGACATGTAAGTCGTTTAAGAAATGACAACTGCTGCAACGTAGGTGATTTGAATTATGCCAATAAATATCAGTTAAAAATGTCAAACAAAAGTGGTAGAGATGGAAAAAACCATAACATGGAGAATCCAATTAAGGTGTCTCATGAAAAAGAACACGTGCAAAAAAAGAGGGAGAAGCGTTAACTACTCGTTGATTTTATTGCCTGTTCTATAAGGGCAGAATTTTCCTTGAACGTAGATAATACATTTGAGAGAGAATCCTGCACCTAAAAGGACGAAATAGTAAAAGTATAGATGATATGTACCAACTAGGCGTAAGCCTGTTCTCTAACATAGCCTCGAGTTTCTAGGCTTCATTTCTGGTGCAATAAAAACTAAGGATAAAGTTGTTTACGCTGACACAAGCCCGAGGTGACAGTACCGAAGACCCGAGATGCAAAACTAGAGGCTACGGATCGGTTTATTTTGACTTAGAGTTGCGAACCTGAACAGGGCAACCCAAGAGGGTCTATGAGTACTACACCATATCTCCGCGACATCAAGTAAAGGAAGGTAGAGCTTCATGAACACAATTTAATTCCCATATCATCGACTTTTAACAGACTAGAATGTAATAAATTGCAAGGCAATGGTGTTTACGAATACCATTAAATAATTTCACAAAAAGCGGTTAAACAGTACATAACCCCAACGAACTCCAAACGAGGCATGCCGCGTATTGTGCGAAACAACAACAAAAGAAATTTGCTAAGACTGCTGCACAAATGAGCAACTCACCACCTTAAGCTGAGAGGAGTAACTTGTCAATTCATCGTCGATCCTTTTCTGGGACAGTTCCACATTCACGAGCGCGGTGCTGAATTCAGATGCTAAATGGAAATGCAACCTTTAAAAATGAATCCCGGACTCATCCAAAGGCACAAGGCCACAGTTATATGGCCTTTATGCTCGGTTAAAAATTACTAGTTTAGGCGGCTGGGACAAGAATACTTTAAAAGAGATGATTGACACCAGTGCTATATCTCATAGAACTAATTGGGTGAAAGACGAATTGAGTAATAGTTAGTGTGGATAATTTGCAATAAGCCAAGATCACAATCACTTCACTCTCATAGCCAAGAATATGGAAAAGATAGTCCCACTTGCAGAATGAAAAACATTCGAACCTTGCTCGTGCAGAGCTTGGAGATCCTTGAGACGATCAACGACTGTTGGGAGGTCTGCGGAAAACGTGTCCCACTTTTTTACAATTTCAAACAACTCAGCAACCTAAGAATACCGAAAATCCAATTAAATGACAGTTAGGATGAAATTGACGATCAAAATCGACATCACCTGTGCATGACTAACTGACAGCAGAAATGAGTGAAACGCTGACTAGAAAAAGGCATTGTGTAGACGCGTTTCAAATTGCATCAATCTTAGGTGTTTTTCTCCTGCTATAAAAACCGTGAGCAACGTCGGCGATCTTAGTCAAGCCTTCAAAAAGGGATTAAGTAGGGTCAAAAAGTGAAATATATTTGGAGATTTCGCGAAGTTTGGCAAACGGAACAGATACTTTTTAACAAAACTTGCAATTAATGCAAAATATTTCAAGTACGTTGCGAACATTTGTTCTAAAACATGTCAAAAAATTGACAAGGAGACAACCTTGCCAAGAACGGGTTTTGATGTGTCTCAAATATGTTAAAGTGAGACCTGCCCCCTTGTACCAGGCTGACAGGATTTCCCCGAGTAGGCCTTGATTTTTGAGAGAATCGATGGTTGAGTTGGAGGCACGGCTTACATGTCAGTAAATATGCATACACGGCAAGCGAGTGAGCTGGCATGCGCATTGAAATTAATGTAAAACCACCTATTTAAACGTACGGCAGATCTGTTCCATGATAACTTTTGAAAGAGCCCGGAATTCGCAAAGCAGAATGTTTAATATAACTTGCATGGTGCTGGAAGGTGCTGTACGCTAATGACCATCTACAAGATTGTTCTTCTCATGTAGGCAGCGACAGCGAGTAACCGAAGACTGCATGTACATTGTATAACAGAAAATTACTACCGAGCATCGCATTTAATTTTATCCTCCACAATTTAATGCACCATAATTAATCGAGGGAATGGGGAAAAAACATAATAGGATTGGAATGTGGGTCACACTCATTGCATGCAACAACGTGATTACCCGCTTGCCCCGCGAGTATTGTTATTGTCTTGTAAGTTCCGCATTAAGTTTTACCGTTAATTACCTCCGAAATCAAGGTCAACTTGGAGAAATTCTGTCAGCTTCCTGCTTAAGGTAAATTCCTCTCCAGCATACTTAAAGCCCAAAAAAATGCAATTCGTCATCTTGTGGGAAAATTAGTGCAATTAATGTGGAATAGATCAGCTTCGCCGTACTACACCAAGTTGTTACAAATCTGAGTTAATTTATTCGTATTGCACATAAATAATAATACATTGCGCAATAATTCAGTCGGTTGAGCATTTACAAATAATGGATAACTTAGGAATGAATAATACTAAAGAAACGATTAGTAGAATTCTACGATAACCCACTTTATTCTGCGTATCGGCATCGGTAACAATAGAGTTCTCGGGGTTTTTGCTGATACTGGCAAGCTTTGCTTGAAGACTGGCGATTCGTGCCTCAACTTGGTCCAAGTATGCTGGTTGCAAAAGAGAAATCCGCTCGGACAATCGTGAAGCCGTGTCAAGCAAACCACCGGGACCTGTTTCGGTCACTTCCCGTGAGCCAAGGAGTGCCTCCAGACGCTGCAATCGCCGGTCCAACTCTAGCGTCTATTTAAAAAAACACACACACACACGCACACTTAAATCTAGGCCATGATTTTTTATTCATCATCGCCAACGCCGGTGACGGTCTGCACAGGTAGCAATTTCGTCGCTGGAACAAAGAAGGGCTTTCTAAAATTAATACCATGTATGTGAGTTGCAATCAATTCTCTTGGAGTTTTTTTCGATTAGGTATTAGATAGTCAGTTGGACCAATTTGGAGAAACCATTACCTATTAAACAGACAAAACACCTGCCAAATTTAGATGTTTCGAACATCTCTACACTTAAAATTGTGCATGCATGTGCGCAGGTAGCACAAATAATGCGACAACTCTTTGTCATCCGTGCGTTACCGCAGCTAGAGATCAATTTGGTGGTGGACTTGCAATACACATTCCGGCAACCCCGTCTTTGGCTTCTAATGTCCTAATCGATAAAACGCTGATACAATCGGTAAAATGGATGACGGTGCTTTCAACAAGATCAACAACTGTCTAGGGAGTGATTCTAACAAGGACTTACAAGACGCGGAAATGTAATATGACCGAACTTTGCTCAGTATGTCGATGTGCGTTTAGAACTGGCGCGCCAAATGAATAAATTACGTTAATACCAAAGAACGTCACCTTTTCTTTATTGGAGTCAGCCTGGTCTGAGGGTTTAGAGTAAAGTTCAAAACTAAGGAGTTCGCTGGTTTTTTCGGCTTGTCTCCTTGGCGCGGGTTTGAAGTTGGCAATTTGTTCGAGTAAACGCCTTTAAAAAGCGAAGCAGTAGGGCAAATTGCTATAACCTGATCATGGAAAACAAGATCTACAATAGTATTGTTTACGTTTCAACAAAAATCCCTAGTGACATTTCATGCCTGGTTGAACTTCTAAGGATACTAGGATGCACTAACAAGGTTGATGTCAAAAAGCTGCTTTGAATAAACCAACAACTCGAGAATGGCAGAGGTTGCATAATATCCAACCCTACTACTAGGTTGTTCTGGATCGCATTTCAAAATCGGGCTGAGGACGGCTCAAGTACTTGTTGAGTCAACCAGGTCTTACGTTTCGTGTGTTAACGACTCAGAAGACACAAAATTACTTCAAAAGATGACGCCACAAAGATGAATCGAAATGCGACACAGTTCAAAGTGGTGCGTCGAAGAAATTCGGCGTGAATAAATAAGCGGAAGAAAGGATTTCGTATAATTTCTACTTTCATCGTTGCAACCCATGCAACAAGACACCGCGAGAGCCACATGATTCACATAAAAGGGACATGCAAGATGGATTGATTTAGTTGAAGCATGCAAAAATTAAGTTGCGTGTTCTGAAGTAAAGAAGAAATTAATCAGTAGAGAAATTCGTATCCGTCGCCAGCTAAATTGCAATCAAGCTGAGGCTTGTGCCTTTGTCGTAAGTTTATGAATCGTTCGCACTATTTCAGATATCCAATTCAAACAGAAAGAAAAACGACAAACTTTTGAATGAGAGCGTCATGGGCACAGAGATCCGTAAGGTCGAGATTAGGTCCAAAAATCTCCTCCAATTGGAGTTGCCCAAGTTGATTCGTTAACGAGGAGGCTAGAACCGAGATTTGTTCCACTGACAACTCCCCTCCGCTTGCTCCAGCCTCTTTTTTCACCGTTTCAACGTCGTCGATAAGCTGGCGGACTTCTGCCTGAAGACGCTGGAAACGTGCCGTCAGCGTTGACTCCCGACCACCATCTGCGTTCTGACAATGGATTCGTGTAATTATAGGTCAGAACAGAAATTACGAATGCGCGGAAGTGATCCAGCTTGTGGGAGCCCCACCATCAATGTTTTCTCAGTATAAAAGTAAACATACTTATAATAATGTAAAAAAAGTTCCAGTGTTAAATATTAGTGCAGCCTTTTTTACGTTTCTATCCTCAAGCAATTTGTCAAAAAAATAGACTACATCTAATCGCCTAAAATGAAGTCTACCAAATAACTTCTATTTACATGCTGTTAACCGAAACATCCACCTGGGATGGCGGGAGCTACCAAATATCCTTGTGTGGCAGCTACTAAAGAGTATTTAACAAATGTGCTAACACTACACGTTTGAAACCCTCAGAGCCTTGTTCCACTCAAACCAAGATTAACACTCCAGAGACGATAGCAGAACGGATTTGCAATAGGAACTTAACTTATATAATATGTATTGGTGATGGATACCGCCTTAAAATACGAGACCTCAAAAAGGCCACTAACATTGTCCCAAAAACGAATTTACATTGAACAGGAGCATTAAGGGGATAAATTACACCCGAAGTGCTGCTAGACCTGCGCTCAACTCACTAGCATCCATCATTTCAATTTACACAAATTTGAGCAGCCCGTATTTAAACGAATAACTAGAATAAAACATTTCAAAAATGAATAGTCAACCGGTCAAATTATTTATGCGTGTTTGTAAAAGGATATATTTTGGGCCTAGGCGTAATACTTGGATTTTAGGGTTAAAACCGCTAGTCGTAAGGCACTGCTTACCAAATAGTACAAATTCATCAGTTTAAAATTCTATAAATTTGCCAAAAAGACAGTTAGTATAAAAAAACCGTTAGGAAAGTGGAAAAAAACGAGCAACTGAAAAATAGCTTTTACCCAAGTAGGAGTGCAATCACGACAATAACCGAGCATCATACGCATTTATATGCTTGATAAAATAATGCTTTAAAACCATACCGCTTCATACACTGAATTTTCCACGGCAAATCCGACATTTATTGTACCGGTAACCTTATCGGAGAAATCTGCAATTGAACAATAATAAAAATTATTTCCCAAAACACTGACAAAGAAATGACAATTTAATTTCTATTTTGTTAATCAACTTGGGCAGTAAAATGTAACCCATTCGCAAGTTTGTAAAAAGACATGGATTAAACATATCGAAAATCCATTAAAGCCATTAACGGTGAACAAAGCTTAAGCAAACATTCCTGTCTGGATTTGCAAGTAGAAGGAAACCCACACACGCCTCATGAGTGATTGTAAAATGAACTCACCAGCGTTCAAAGCATTAACTTTACAGTGCTCAAAGCGCTTTCTTGCCTCTTCAGCTGAAATTTTGGTTCTTTCAATTTCTTTTGGGAGGACCTGGTCATCCTCAGTAGTCTTTTTGATTACCTTCATTAAATGACAAAAGACAAACCTCGCTTTTTCTTTGATCGGCTTCAGGTAAGTCATCAGTTTCATATACATCAGGTTCATCATATGCCTAAAATGAAGCGGATTACTTAAGAATGCGCCTACTATCCATGGCATGTCAGCAAATTTAGTATCGACAGGCATTATGTGGTAGGAGGAAGAGACTGCTTACAAGAAAATAGCGGTCAAGTAATGAAACTGCAATGTGGCGTCGGATTAGGGCGCAGACATGTTGGACCACTTGGCCTCAGCCAATCCTGTGTCCCTCTGCTTCCTAATGGCATGCGAGGAAGATAAGCAGCCAACCAGAGAAGGACACGACTGAGGAGCAGTATATAATAGGCGGCGTGGCCAGCGTGGTGGACTCGGATGGAAGACGCCTGACGCGTGGCTCTGGCTTGTGATTGGTCGATAAAGCTTGTTCTGTTGTACCAGTGTTCTTCATATTGGGGCTCGGGTATTCTACAGCAGCGGCGTAACAAAGCGCAGACATATTGGATCACGCTGGCCTCAGCCAATCCTCTGTCTCACTGCTTTCGAATGTCACGCAATAAAGATGTGCTGCCAACCAGAGACAGACGCAAACTATAAAAGGTATAAAAGAAGATGCGCAGCCTGCCTGGTGGAAAAGGATAGCGCTTAACGTGTGGTTATGGGTTGTGATTGGTGAAAAACGCCGGTTTTTTGCGCAAATCTTCTTTCTACTGTGGTTCTGGTATTTTTCATTTGTGAGAGTCCATGCGTTTGAAAACGCAAATCAAACCTAGGCCCTGTTTTTAGTATAGAAAGCACATGGCAAAATCCTTGAATTCCAGGCGCAGCTGTCTTCTCCGTGCATCCGATGTTCCAAACACTGTATCCAGGCACGTCGACCGAGATTATTACGTTTATATCTGACTGGACATTAACAGCTCAGCGACGATGATAAAGACATTAGAAGTAGCTAGACTGCTTTAAAAAACAATATTTGTGATGGATGAAGCTTTTTTCCTAAAAGTTAACAATAGCAAAGCTTATAGTTTTTTATTCTCCCTGGGTCATTTTATTGCCAGATATGAGGTATCGAAAATGTACTAAATTTTAATTAATTAGAGACAGGGCATTGAAATAAGACTGGAGGGTAGGAAAAACCCTAGGCCATGGAATCTAGTGAAATATTCAGTGCAAAACTCTGTTGGAAAGTTTCAGCAGAAATCTTGTGCATGCAATTTGGAAACAATTACATGGAAGCGTGAGACCTCGTGGAAGGATTAACGAAGGTTATGCAATTAAAAATTGTGAAAATTAAGGCCTTGTTCAATTTCAATCAACAAATGCTGTCTTTTGCCACCACATTTGCAAAAATGGACAAAGCATCGGATCTGAATGCCTGAAGGATGCTGATATGATAGTGTGGAGGTTGTCGGTGCAGCTGCAATGTAAGTGAGTTACGGTAATTAACATATCGCAGAATCTTGGAAAAAAAAATACAAACCTCTACATGTTGATAGCGCTTCTTCTCGATTTCGTGAGTTATTTGCTAGTTAGAGAAACGAATGCGTTAATCGTTAATCAACCTCACCTATAAGATTATCGAACGATCGGTGGCGGAATATGAATGTGCGAAAAGCTATGATTCAAAACAAGGTTATTTTCCAGTGTCGCCTTAGTGTGTGATTCGGAAACAAAATTTATACCAACACTGCTCGAAGCCTAACCATATCCCAAAGACCTGCAGTTCAACTCGCATCCGCACAATCGATAATTTTAGAAAGCCTATCATGCACAATTTTGCCCGTTAAATAATAAAAAGTGTTTTAAATTGAATTAAGGTCAGTGGGGAGGAGACAATCCCTAGAGTGGCCCACACGTTGGTCCTGATAACCGTCGGGTATCTTAAATAGTCGATAGAGTCTCCTGTTTTATGCTGCATAATGGTTTATATTGTGCGTTTTTTCATAAAAGTTTTCCGACTTTGTATAGACTGAATCGAAACTAAGGTAAAGGCGTTGTCAAACGTTTCAAATGTTGAAATTTACTTTGCAGGCTTAGCATGTTAATCCACCCTAATAGCAAGTTTTTTTTACATTTTTACAAAGTTTTTTGATGCTATTATAAATTATGATAAAGTCAGTCGGCAAGCGACCGTATTTGGGATAAAGAAATCACCACATTACGTCTGCCAGAAGTCTAGAGGTGATTGGAACTTGAGAAATTACCGCTATAGGTACTTAGATATGAAAAATCGTGCAGAGATTTTTTTGTTGGACTTACCAAAGGGAAAAATTGAAAAACGTTTTCTAAAGATCCAAAATTATATTGAGCCTTTACAAGGCACTTATAAGCGGTGTTGTAATACAGTGTTGTGGGCCCCAGCATGTGGTCTTAAACCACGCCGCGACCACTGAATTAATCCTGGTCCAATTACGTTTCCTTAATATCAGCGATGAAGAAAAAGATAGGAGAGGACATGGACACCGCCATTTACTTCAGAGCTCAACCACGTTGATGTCGTTGTGTCGTGTGTGGGGTTTTCGCGTGTGCATTTATACCTTGGCTGTGTAAGTCATACAAGCCCAAACATCGAGACGTAGGTGTGGAGATAATCCAAATATCCGTGTGAATGAGGGAAGAGTTGAGGATCCACGCGGCTGGTGACATGCTGCGAAAAGGGGAACCCTGTGTCCGAGATGGAGCGACAGAATTAAGGGGTGTGAAAAAAACATGATTCACAAGAGCAGAAAAAAAGAGCGCAAGCCGACTACTTTGTTTGCTACCCTTTATTTGAGGAAAATGCCCCAGAATCAATTAAATAATTCACCGTGTTTGATGTAAGAACCAATCTCAAAGCTGTAAAAGAAATCCTTTGAAATAGATTTGGTCAAAATTCAATGATGGCCGCAACCTTTTAACATTAGTTTCTCGACGATCCACTTCTAAAAGCCGACGACATATCATGTCTAGTCAAGTTTAGCTAGTTAAATTTTACAAAAATCCCTACACATAGGAGCGAAAATGACAACGATTAAATTTCAAAGTTGTTAAAGGATGTGACGGTCGTTCGTGTACCAAAACGCGTGACAAATTAAGTTTCAAGCATTTTGGTGCACGTCTGCAACCAGTGAATGAATTTTTGATAGGCGATCGAACCGAACTCAAAAAAAATCCGACAACTGCTTTTGGTTATGTAAATTGCTTATCCTCTACACCCACAAGCCAGACAAAAATATTAAGGTTGAAGCAATTGTGTGTTACAAGGTAAACGAAGGAAAAAACAAAGCAAACCCTTTTAAAGCATTATTTCATTTAAATTTGAATCTTTCCCTTTACTCTTGACCTGTAGTCCCAATGGTCAAAAGAGTGCAACTTTTACAGATTTTCCTTGATACATCTGATTGTTAGCAATCTCTCCTTTCCAATTTTCTTACTAAAAGGAGAAAAGTGCACAAAGCTGTTAGCTTCTATGTTTGTTGTCTAAAGTTACTGTTTACGCTATTTGCTGTCATAATGTTCATAGGTTATAAGAATCCGTATACGTTGGTGAACGTCTCGATTCGTCCTGTTTTCTTTGCGAGCTGAGGGGGTCCCTCAATCTTAATAGCAAAGCTCTTGTAGACGTTTAAAGTTCAAGGAGATTACTTTACCAGGCAGACAGTGTGCAGAGTGGCATGCTCGGAGATGTAAGAGACGATGATGAATACTTCGGTGTTATGTGTAAGATTTCTTTGTAACGTGGGGTAGAAGCAATCAACGTTGAATTTACGGGAAATGGTAATAGGTCGGTGCCTGGTAGAATGTGATATTTGCTTTGCGGAAGATATTAGACAATCCCAAAATAGCAAATGTGGGATCTGTCTAACGTAGATTGCGTGCCCAGAAAAGGGCAAGGTTGGTGAAGTTAAATCGATTAGTAATGTGCTTCGTGTGGTTGTCGGTCGTGGAACCATGCAGTATTCTCTACTTGAGTGGATTTCCACCATTTGCACTACATAGTAGCTGGGATCTACATTGGAGGCAGTGTGAGGAAAATGTGGACATAGAACGGTGCTAGAAGTTCACGACAAATAGTGTAGAGACTGGTGCATTGGCAGTGCAGATTTACTAGGTTCCATAAATCCTTACTGGCGGTTGACATAAAAGCACACAGAAAGGTAAAAGGATATTAGTTGGTTCCCTTCGTCGGCCGTTGCTCGCAGAATCAGGCCGGTTGCGTGGTTACAGTCCCTCGTCTTGCAAATTTTTTAAAGAGCCTTCTCTCGAGACCAATACGTTGGTCTGTGCAGATGAAGTCAAGAACGCCGTTGTGAGAATCCCAGTTAAACATGACAGGATATGCAGGAATGTGATGTACGAATACATTTATCCAAGCAGATTTCTAACTAGAACTTAAAACTGCGCAGAAATAGGAAATTCCTAGAACGTTGCGACATTATTAGTGTCGATGGAAAGTTCCGTTTCTAAGACAATATAACCCTGGGGCACAATGGACTTTTGCAAGTCACCTGTGTGCGGTAGAGGGAACGAATGACAGATCGCAACTGATTTATGTTGAGAGTCTCTAATGAAAAGATAATGAGAGCCAAATTTCCTTTTGGAGAAGAAATTGTTTTTTAGTAAGAATGAGGAAGTACTAATGATTTTCTCACACAAAAGACCATCCATGAGCCTTGCAAATCGGTGTGATATTGTGAACAAGTTCTCCATGGGGCAAGAACTTTGTGGGGTGCTTTAGCAGAATGTACAAGGTATAAATGAACATTGGTTTATCTGATTTTCTGACATACCCAAATGTAGAAATTCGAAAATTATTTCAATGATTCCTGTTGTTGTCTGGAATGCTTATGCTTAAATGCGGATCTAGAGAACGACTAATAGAATCGGAATCGACCGCGATAACGACCATAGCAGGAAGTGTTGCACAGTCGATTGTTCACCATTGAAGTCAAATTTACTTGCAACAGAATCATCTTCGACCTGAAGACCACTAAGTTAAGAAACATTTGATGCACTTAAGGCAATTTAAACTTAACAAACGTCTTGGCAGTGCCGATAATGCATTGAGTAGAGTTGTTTTCAGTGATGACATGAAAGTTAGACAACAAATTGGCTGGCATATATGCAATTTCGGAGTGATCAGCGTAAACACTGAATACCATCGCACTCGTGTTGAGTAGACCATTTGTTGAGAATCAAGGAACCCCTGGATTACGAGCAGACGGTGGACTGAGTTAAGAAGGTATTTTGCTAAGAGGTGCATTTACCGTAGACTATGTCGCTTCAGCATCATTTGACCACTTCATCAAATCACTTCAAGGAGCCGCATATAGAATAGTCACCATTGTGTGGGTGAGGAAAACGATGGTTGAAAAGGAAAAGTTGTGTTGTTGAGCACCACGAGGATGCGGGATAGGGATTAAATTAGAGGTTCTTGATAAGGATGGTTTGAGTGTAGGAGTTTTGTTACAACTTCACACATTACGTCATGAAAAAGACTTCAGCAAAGATGGAGGGACTTTTGCTAATGAAGTGTTAAGAGAGAGTAAGCTCGTCATAGCTCACTCTGAGGCTCCTTAACAGGAAGATAATATGCATCTAATGATTCCATGGTGTTTCGAAAGCCTTAAAGTAACCTGACCTACAGCTACTTTAGGGTTTTTAATAAACGAAAAGGCCATAAATAATCGACAACTTAATGTCAAAAAGGAATTCAAGAAGCATATACTGGAAAACATGCTAACAACTGAAAAAATAAGACAGAGAAAAAAGGGGTTTATCATCAAACTGGGCCCTAAATTACCGCGACATGACTATGGTGGGCTAATAGAAGTTTGTTCTATGTAAAGGGCGTAAAAAATGCGCAATAGAGATTCGGGATTAGACTAGGAGGAAAGACCAATAGGCAAGTTTTAATTAAATAAGAAAGAATGGGAAGTTGCAATGAAAAGGATAAGATAAGAGGTAAATTCACACTTTTTTGGTCCTGCAGAGCTTGAAAACTAGGGTTTGGTTTTGCCGAATGGTGACTTGACACCAGCAATATATGATTCTCCGAAATAACCCTTCGGATATGGCGCTTGGCTATCTAACAGTAAATGAACTTGAAATTGGAATAAAGATCTGTCCGATTCTCCAATGCAAAAAAAGAAATTTTGCATTTTAAGGTTCTGTTCTTAATGCACATTGATACAACGGTACCAATGTTTCGATTTAAGACCAACCTATAACCACTGAGCATTGGCAAACGCCTTAAAGGAAGTCATGAATTAGTGTCTTTATATTTTTTGCAATATGATTCTAAATTTTAGCACTTAGTGGTCTGCTATTCGGCTACCACTTTAGAACTAAATCCTGCCTAAACAGAGTTGACAACGGTTATTCAAATACGTAAAAGTCAGTCTGAACTACCAAAATAAATCTTATAGTAATCATTTGAAATCAACAACTAAAATTTCGAATCCACCAGCAGCAAAAAAATATAAGAAATTCTTCCAAGATATATCGTCAGGTACTAATACTTAACATTATAATTCCAATATCGCACCATCATGTAACCACATCAAATTACACATTGACCATGGTATCAATCTCAGTCTGGAAATCGTCCTTGTATTAAACATAAATATTCCATGTCAGGATTTATGGACTTCTTGAAATGAGTCATTATGACGGCGTCTAAATCCGATGCTACAGCGACTCATGTGACTGATGTAACAAGAGGGGCTTAGCTTGCATGCCAAAATCTAGTAGAAACGTTTAGCTACAGAAAATTCGGATTCCATTTTGGTAATTGCGAACCCCATTTAAAACGTCCTCTTCAATTTCTACTCGTCTCTGCTAAGTTGAAAATATTATTTATGGACCATTCCAGCACTCGCGGCAGACAATTGGCTGAAGTCCATAACTGCAAACATGTCCGCGCCCTCGCGATCAAAACTGTAGAATACCCGAGCCCTAATAGGTAAAAGACCGGTACAACAGAACAGACTTTATTGACCAATCAGAAGCCAGAACCACGCGTCAGGCGCCTTCCATCCGAGTCCACCACGCTGGCCACGTCGCTCATTATATACTGCATCTCATCCATGTCCTTCTCTGGCTGGCTGCCTTCCTTTCCCGCATGCCATAGGATCGCAGAGAGACACGGGATTGGCTGCGGCCAGGAGGTCCAACATGTCTGCGCCCCAATCCGACGCCACAAACAATTTAGATGCAATGGGATTTTGCGATGGATAACGGATGCAGAAACGTATTATTAGGAGTTAGTGGAAGTGTTGCCGCCTTGAGGACTGAAGAACTGGTGTCCCATCTTACTCAGGCGAATTATAACGTCGTTGTTGTAATGACAAGTGCGGCCCACCACTTTGTTGATAAGTCGCGACTTACAGTTCCTGTTTACACCGATTCCGACGAATACGGCTGTTGGAGAACACGCGGTGACGACGTACTCCACATAAAGGTAGAGTGATAAATATCTGCTCAACAAGTTAGCTAAAGAACTGGGCTCAAATATTTCTCATTGCACCACTATCGGCCAATACTCTCGCAAAAATCGCCGGCGGACTTTGCGACAATTTACTAACATGCATTGCGCGGGCTTGGTACTTCGAGGAACCGGCTGAAGGTCAAGTGAAGAAGATTGGTATTTTCGCCCCTGCAATGAACTCTGCTATGTGGAAGAACCCCCTAACATCAAAGCACGTAGACGTACTTCGCAATACATTAAATTGGCACATGATCAACCCTGTTTGCAAGACTCTGGTATGTGGTGAATTCGGTGAGGGCGCAATGGAGGAACCGTTCAAAATAGTTCAGCACATTGAGGCACTCGTACGTTAGTTCATCGACCGGTTCCTACTTAAATACTTCAAGTCCATGATTAAACAATTAGTTACATTGAATTCATTTTTTTACTTTTTAATTGTTTAGCTTGGTTACCATTGTACAGTCGGATAATGACGGCTTCGCAAAGAGGTAGAAAGGGTTTTTAGAATTACATAGGGAAAACTTGGCTTTATTGAGTCAAAAGTATTGGTTTCTAGGTCTCCTTTGTGGCCCCAGTGTCCGTACTGAAATTCCCACAATTCTCAGTTTCGCCAGAAACTTCAATGCTTTTAATAAGTCTGTATAAGGCGTTGGCCTCGCGAACCTTGTTGAATTCTAAACAGAATGACTGGACTTCGATCAAGACGTCCTGAAACAGGATACGCGATGAGGTGACTTACAAGATAGTGGTAGGCGATTTTGTAAACAATCAAGCAATTATAATTCCAGCACATAAATATGAAAAATATGGGTATGGAGTGGTCTGTCCGAAGTGGTTCGCTTTGAGAGGTGATTAGGATTACACTCCACGTGACCTTGGTCGAAAGTCAAGCTACTAGTAATATTTAATTGAGGTTAAAATCTCGCAATAGTTTGTTGCAAGTCTTGAATCAGCGCAGGAAGCACATTTTGTTTGGAACTAAGTGATAGAGGTTGACTTGAAGGTGGCTGAACGCAATACAAGAATAGCACAAGACAGGGCCATTTAGGCTTAGTTAATAGGTTGGAGTAAGAACTTACGACGCCACTTATGTCGAGAATCTTATTCCTCAACCATGCCTGAATGACGACACACACGAGTCGAACTAGTCGGAGCTGCAGTCCCTTATCCTGGGTGTTCTGGCATCCACTGATACAATTTGAAATGCACTTGCGGATGAAATCGGGCTGCAACGACATCTGTGTTGCCACTCGATTAATTACCTCCAGCGACTGTACGTTGACATCCATTTCTGTGAGTGCTGCCAGAAAACTAGAAACAAACTTGATTGCAAAGATTCCTTGGTGTTACAGCAGGCTATGATGAAAACTTACGTCTCCAATTCCGGCAAAGACGTCATTGCCATGATAATTTCAGAGGCTGTCAATGGGTTGCGATTGACAAGGCTTGGAAACTAATGCCCAAATAAATTATTTGGATAATGAAACAAAAAGAGGGTAATGAAGGAACATACGTTTTCGATTGTGAGACCAACACTGTGTACCATACTGGGGTTTTCGGCGATTGCCTGAACAAGGACTTCCTTCTGGGACGGCGACAAGGAAGACGTTAATGCAATTGATGCGAGTTGACAAATCTATGCAAAAAGATAAGCAGCATCTCGATTTACAATGTATTCTAATTTGCACAAATCCCCATAGCTCGTTAAAATGGTGGGTCACGGATAAGTTAATTTATCAAGTTAAGGGCAACCACATGCAATTCTTTGCTGGCTGGCTCAGTGTTGCTTTTCAGTTGTGTGGGACTCGAGGGGGTTATTATCAGTTTGGGAGCCTGCGTGATTTGATTCATAAAGGCTAACTTTATGTAAAGCACTGCATTTGATAGAATTTGAAATTGTGTGATACCACAAATAAGGATAAAGAGAAGACAATAACACAGTTCCTACCTCAGCAGGAGGCGAGGAATGGCCCATAGTAGAATCCCAATGAAAATGATGATTCACTGTAAGAGGACAGAGCCAAACAAACTCTTCAGTCCACACGTTCGAAGTGCCAGGTGGGCTGTCCTCGGTTGTGAGAGGGCTAGGTGTGGAAGCCTGTGGGCACGGCAGCAATGGTGGCACGATACGAAGGAATTCCGGACGCAGAGATTGAAGCAAAGCTGGCAGCAAAACTTCATTGCTTAGCAAATTTTCCAGACAGTGCTTGCGTTGAAGAGCCGAAGTGATATTCCGTTCACATAAAAGACTTTGGAAAATGTTAAATGAGTCAAACATTACAGCGCACAGCCACCACATACGCTAACCTTAAACCAAGGTAACTTCAATTACTGGCATAATAGTGCTCGGTACTCAAATTTAAGACAGTGTATTTTAAAATCACAACCTTCTGACAAACATCATTTCATGTGCGAACTAAAACAATGCCTTCAACCAAATAAGCAGTTAAAAAATATCTAATTTACGATAAAAGGAAGATGGGCTTCCTTGAATGACTCTAGAACACAACTAAGCACGGCATTCACGAAAGTAGCTAATATGCACTCCTAGAATGAAACATCCACTTCAACATTGTTAGGGTAGCAAGCAGTAAACCCACCTTAAGACCTCTTCATCAGGAACGATACATGGAATGCCGCACAAGTCGACCTTAGGTACTTTTTTCAATTTTTCGCGAAGAAGACTATCAAAAATTGACAAATCACACTAAAACTCTGAAGCGATCAAAATCAAATTTACTGCGTGAAGCGAAGCCAAATCAGACCCCATGCTTAGAACCTGAACTGGTGTCATTTTAAATAGCTAACATCGCATTCATTAAATAAATTCAACTTACATCTTTAATACGATCAGTATAACGCATTAATGTGAGCATAAATAACTTGGCTGAAATTGGAAAACGGCACTGTTTCGAAGAGCTATCATTCTTCTAGAAGAATGTTACTCAATTTGAAAACATGCCAGAAAATCCAAAATAAAAGGAAGAAATGGGTTGTTTTCCAACGAATCTGACTTGTACATATCCCAAAGCAAAAAGACAGCAAGTGTCTTTGGCAAATTGTCCGCAAGCAAGTCACTGCTTAACAGAGCAATCTGGAAGCGATTAGCTATTGATAAAAAAACAACTTACGACGCTTTTACCCAACTTAAAATAATCACTTTTTACAAACGTTTTATGGAAGGACGCAGAGATCGAATCAAAAGTTTTGTTTGGGTATTGACCATTGAACAAAAAGCTAAAACGAAAAAGCGCAATGAACAATTGAGCAACGAATTTTCCTGCAGCACATATCAAAATATTTATCACAATCAAAATAGCAAAATTGCCTTTGTTTCTAAATGAACTGAAATTAAAAAGATTTAGACAATAAGTGATGTCACACAATGAACAGGTGGGATAAAAAAGCCCTCAAGTAATAATTAAATACTTAATTAGGTACAGACAAATCGTTTATATTTGTTGGGGCAGGTAGCAAAGGTCAAACGAAAATATTTACAGTTTTCAACTCTAGTTTATCTCATACAAGAGCATAATGAGATTGAGATAAGTACATTGTCCTTAAGTAACATATTACACTATGCGTTACAATGCACTTGGCTTATACTTAATATAATTATAGTTTAAAATTTCACAGATTAACAGTCTACTTGAAGCAACATATATTCGTGCTTAAATTTAAGGGTAGGCTACAGAAAACTAACTTTGTTAAATTAGACAACTCCTTTGAAGTTAGCATTGTGGCGTCGGATTAGGGCGCAGACATATTGAACCACCTGGCCTCAGCCAATCCCGTGTCTCTCTGCAATCCAATGGCATGCGGGAAAGGAAGGCAGCCAACCAGAGAAGGA